TGACTCAAAATCAAGAGTTAGACACTCAACTGATTGAGCCATCCAGGCGCCCCTATGGTAGCCTTGTTGTAAGTTTTAAAACGAAAAAATATGAATTCTCCAACGTTGTCCTTTTTCAAGATTGACTTGTCTGTCTGGGCCCCTTGAAATTCTATGTGAATTGGGAGATTAACTTTTCCCTTTATGGAAAAAACACTATTGACATTTGGTAGAGATTGTATTGAATCTGTAGATGGCTGTGAGAAGTACTGCCATCTTAACAACATTAAGTTTTCAATCTATGAACATGAGATGTCATTCCATTTACTGAGTTCCGAAATTTCTTTCAGCAACGTCTTATGGTTTCCAGTGTATAAATCTTTCACCTCATTGGTTAAATTCATTCCTAGTTTTTTTCCATGTTTGTATAAATAGAATTCCTTTCTTAATTCTACTTTCATATTTTTACTTCCGGTGTATAGAAACATACCTGATTTTTTGTGTTGATGTTGTACCTGCAACTTTGTGAAGTTCATTTATTAGTTCTAGTAGGGTTTTTAAAACATTCTTTGTATTTTCTACATATAGGGCTATACCATCTTTGAATACCAATAGTTTTACTTCTTCCTTTCCAATTTGGATACCTTTTGTTTCTGCTTAGTTCCTTCCCTACCCAGGGACCAGGGTCACCGACTGGGAACACAGGCTGCCATCTTCAACACCACTACAGAGCCTGGAAGGGCCTGGTCAACGGCAACTAAAAGCACCCAAAACTATTTTATTATTCAAAGTTGCCCTTCCTTGATTCAGCACATGCTTGTTGCTGTAAACTTTTATCTGTTTTCCGGACTTCTCAGAGAGTTTATTCCAATAGTGTTTGCTTAATTTTTTAATGTTTCTATGGAGGAGTAGGTTATTGGAGCTGCCTGCTCCACCACTGTCACCAATGTCATCCCAAATATTTTTCTTGTGGTGCATGGCACTATTCTAGGCTAAGGAACACCAAAATAATATTATTCACACCTGTCAACATGCTCGATCCATTTTGAGCTATAATTGACTATTTGGTATCGGACCAACTTCCTACCAAGGATAACCACAAGTTTGAAAAGAAAACAGTTGCATCTTAGAGTAACCAAAATAGCCAGGAGAGAGAGCTTAGGTATCTCACCTTAGATAGCCTAGTAGAGATTTTTATCACCAGCAAGTATACTCTAACAAAGAATGAAATAATTTCAAATGTAATCCCAGAAAAGCAAAAAGTACTAGAAGGCAAAGTAAAGTGCATATGCATATAATATATATATGTAAATACATATATATGTAAATATATATAAATATATATATATGAAATAATTTCAAATGTAATCCCAGAAAAGCAAAAAGTACTAGAAGGCAAAGTAAAGTGCATATGCATATAATATATATATGTAAATACATATATATGTAAATATATATAAATATATATATATGAAATAATTTCAAATGTAATCCCAGAAAAGCAAAAAGTACTAGAAGGCAAACTAAAGTTAATATATATATATATATATATATATATATATATATATATATATATATATATACATATATATATATATAGGTAAATGTAAATTTCTCTATATAAAGCAAAATACTATTTTGTTGGGTTTTTAAATTTAATAAAATTAAAATACATGACAACAAGCACTCAAATCAGGAGTTGGGTAAATGAAATTAATGTTCTAAAGTCCTTGAATTGTCCAGAAACTAGAAAAGTATTAACTTGTAGTACATTCTAGTAAGTCAGAGATTCATTTTGTAATAATAAAGTAAGCCACAGAATAAGAAAAATACACACAACACATATAACTGACATAGGAGTCATATCTAAAGTATAGAAAAACCTCTTGAAATCAATAAGGATGGATAGCCTAATTTTAAAATGGGCAAAGGACTTGAACAGGAATTTCACAAAAGAGAATATCCAAATGGCATACAGACATATGAAACAATGCTAAATTCTTTTTTATCATCCGGGAAATGAAAATTAAATCAACAATGTGATACCTGACATATGCATCAGAATGTACAACATCACAAAAAAACCTCGATGCTCTTTTCCACAGTGGCTATACCATTTTTACATTCCCACAAACAACATACAAGGGTTCTAATTCCTGCATATCCTTGTCAACATTTGTTATCTTTTACTAACATCTATCCAAACTGGTATAAGGTGATATTTCATAGTGGTTTTGATTTCCATTTCTCTGATGATTCGTGATGTTAAGTAGCTTTTTATATATCCTGTTTGCTATTTATATGTCTTCTTTGGAGAAATGTCTATTCAAGTCCTTTGCCTATTTTTTTTTTAATTTTTTTTTTAACATTTTTAAATTTTATTTTTGAGACAGAGAGAGACAGAGCATGAACAGGGTTGGGGCAGAGAGAGAGGGAGACACAGAATCGGAAGCAGGCTCCAGGCTCTGGGCCATCAGCCCAGAGCCTGACGCGGGGCTCGAACTCACGGACCGCAAGATCGTGACCTGAGCCGAAGTTGGACGCTCAACCGACTGAGCCACCCAGGCGCCCCTCAAGTCCTTTGCCTATTTTTAAATGGGGCTATTTGTGTTTGTTCTTGTTTTCTTTGTTAAATATTTTTACAAGTTCCTTATATATATTTTAGGAAGTGGGGGGAATTAATATCTTATCAGACACGTGGTGTGCAAATATTTTCCTCAGTTTTTAGGTTGCCTTTCCAGTCTGCTTTCTCCCTTTACTGAAGGAAGCTTTAGTCTGATGTAGTCCCACTCATCTTCTTTTGCTTTTGTTTCCTGTGCTTTTGATGCCATATCCATATATTCATGAAATTATTGCCAACACTAACATCATGGAATTTTTACCATTTTCCTCCAGAATTTTTACAGTTTCAGGTCTTATGTTTAAAGCTTTAATCCATTTTGGGTTGGTTTTTGTGTATGCTGTAAGGTAGGGGGTTATTTTCATATTTTACATGTGGATATCTAGTTTTCTCAGCCCCATTGGTTGAAGAGATGACCTTTTTCCCATTCTGTATTCTTGACACCATTGTTGAAGATTAGTTCCCTATATACATGTGGGTTTATTTCCAGGCTCTCTATTATGCTCTATTAGTCTGAGTCTGTTTTTATGCCAGTATCATACTATTTCAACTATGGCTGCTTTGTAATACATTTTGAAATCAGGAAGTGTGATGCCTCCAGCTTTGTTCTTTGCATTGGCTATTCTGGGTCTTTTGCTCTTCCACATAAATTTTAGGACTATTTTTCCATTTCTGCATAAAACGCCCTTGGAATTTTGATGGGAATAGCACTGAATATGCAGATTGCTTTGGTAGTATGGACATTTTAATGATATTAACGCTTCCAATCCATGAACGCAAGGTGTTTTCCACTTCTCTATATTTCCTTTAATTTGTTTTATCAGTGTATTATCGTTTTCGGTGTACAAATTATTCACCTCTGACATATTTTGGTTTTGATGCTAATGTAACTGAGAACATTTTCCTAATTTCCTTTTTGAGTAGTTCACCTTTAGTGTATGGAAATGCAACTGATTTTTGCATGTTGATTTTATATCCTGCAACTTTTCTGGATTCACTTATTCATTCTAACAGGTGTGTGTGTGTGTGTGTGCCTACGTGCATATATGTGTGTGTAATCATTAGGGTTTTATATATACGGTTCATATAATCTGCAAACAGAGACAATTTACTTCTTTTCAAGTTTGGATGCCTTTTATTTCTTTGTCTTGTCTAACTGTTCTGGCTAGGACGTCCAGTATTAAGTTGAACAGAAGTGGTGAGAAAGGGCCCCTCTGTCTTGTTCCTGATCTTAGTGGAAAGTTTTTAGTTTTTTACCACTCAGCATGAGGTTAGCTGTGGGCTTGTCATATATGGACTTCACTACATTGAGGTACATTCTTTCTATACCTGATTTGAGAGTTTTTAACATGAAGTGATGTTGAATTTTATCAAGTACATTTTCTGCATTTACTGAGATAATCATATGATTTTTATGCTTCATTCTGTTAATGTGATATATCATGTTTATTGATTTGCATTCTGGCATCCCAGGAATAAATTCTATTTGATCACAGTATATGATCCTTTTAATATGCTGTTGAATTCTGATTGCTAGAACTTTTGTCACAAATTTTGCATCTAGGTTTTTTTGTTTTTACAGATTTTTGCATCCATGTTCATCAGAAATATGGACCTTCAATTTTCTTATCTTGTAGTGTGTTTTTGTGGTTTTGGGAGCAGTGTAATGTGGGCCTTGTACGATGAGGCCTTGTACCAAGCAAACTACTGCTTCTCTTTAAGTTTTCAGAAAAGTTTGAGAAGGATTAGTGCTAAGCCTTTAAATGTTTCATAGAATTCACCAGTGAAGCCATCTGATCCAGGGCTTTCCTTTGTTGGGAGAATGTTATTCAGCCTTGAAAAAAGAAGGAAATCCTACCCTGTGTGACATCATGGATGGACTCATTTTTCTAGTGTTTAAAAAGTAGAAGCGAATATTATCTATACCTCTTCATTTGTATCAGAACTTATTTTTCATTTTAAGTGTCCTTTTATCTAAGTAACAACTGCTTTGAAGCAAAAGCAAAAGTGCTAATCCATGCATTTCTGGCCTTCCAAATTTAATTGGGTAACAAATGATCGCATTATCTAGTTCTAATTGCTTAAAAGGCATGGGATAGACCAGTCGCACAATCAGAGACATCTTCCTCTGACACTGTTTTACTTAGTTCAAGCATCACTTTTTCTGTACAGCATCTGTCTTGCCCAGACCATTCCTAGGGATTTCTGGAATACAAAATCCAGGGCCAAAACGTATCCTGGCAATCTAGGCAAACATGGATCCCCAGAGCCTGAACCTGGAGGGGGCAGAGAAGTTTTCGGGTTCAGGTTCCAGGTCTGGGGACATCTGAAGTGAGGTCTGAGTGGGGATGCACAAAGAAAGGAACAAAAGGTGACCCAGAGTCACTGTAGCACCTCTTACCTGCTTGTGGTCCCCTCATGATGATTACCCTCAGGGCAGACACTGAAGACCAGACCAGCTTGGGGCTTTCATGAAGTTTGGTGTGAGGAACAGAAGACATCGCATTGCCACGGAAAACATTATGCCTGGAAATAAGTCAGTCACAGAAGAACAAATGCTGCATGATTCCACTTATATGAAGAATCTAGACTAGTCAAACTCATAGATGCAGAGATTAGAATGGTGGTTGCCAGGAGAAAGTGGGGAATTTTGTAATGATTATACAGTTATGGATATATACAAGATGAATAAATTCTAGAGCTCTCCCGTATGACATAGAGCCTATAGTTAACAACAAGGTGCTGTACACTTAAAAACTTGTTGAGAAGCGGGGCGCCTGGGTGGCTCAGTCGGTTAAGCGTCTGACTTTGGCTCATGTCATGATCTCACGGTTCGTGGGTTCGAGCCCCGCACTGGGCTCTGTGCTGACAGCTCAGAGCCTGGAACCTGCTTCAGATTCCATGTTTCCCTCTCTCTCTGCTCCTCTCCTGTTCACACTCTGTCTTTCTCTCTCTCAAAAATAAAATAGACATTTAAAAACTTTTAATAAAAAAAAAAAAACCTGTTGAGAAGGTAGATCTCACGCTATGTGCTCTTAGCTAGAACAACAACAAAGGCAAGGGGATGTATAAATGCAACCTTTTGTATATTCAGTTTGCCTCCATAAAATTGAAAACAACAACAACAACAACAAACAAAGAGAAAAGGATGAGCACAAAAGAAAACTGAGAATATCAAGTGTTGGCAAAGATGAAGAGCAACAGGAATTTTCATTCTCTGCCAGTGGGTTGTAAACTGGTAAACCAAAAAACTATTTGGCAATGTCCGCCAACAGTGGACATATGCACATCCAGTGCCATAGTAAGATTACTCTTAGGGATATACCCAAACCAAACATGTAACTATGTGCAAACACCTAACGTCAAGCAGTATCAGAATAAATGGAGACATCTTGGAAGTATACACAAAAAATAAACTACTACATTCTTGAATATGGATCAATGTTACAAATATATTACTGAGCAAAAAGGGCCACATGAGAGTACACACTATCTTTGTCCATTTACAAGTGTTCAGGCAGGCAAAACTAATTTTGGTGGTAAAATTCAGAATCGTGGCGATTTGTGTGTAGGAGAGCAATGACCAAGACGAGGATGAGGAGAGAGTCTATGTTCCTGGTGAACTTTTAAAATCTTGGGCTAGGGAATGGTTACAGAAGTTCATTCACTTTGTTACCAAGACACGGACACATGATGACTGCACTTCTTTTGCACACGTGTCATCCTCCAAAATTTTTCTTATACTCATCAATTCGGAAAATTTTTTTAATCTTTTTTTTTTTTTTTTTTTTTTTTTTTAATTAGCAAGGACGCAGGGAAAGAGTTGCTCATATATTACCGGTAGGACTGTAAGTTGTAACAGCTACTTAAAAGGACAAATGAAGGGAATCTACTATGAAGATTTAAAGTGTGCATTCTCTATCCAATACATTCACTTGCTGGCATTTCTACCCTAGAAAACGCTTGGGTATAGGTTCGACTTACGTTGAAGGTAGCGATGCTTCTGATAGAAAAACGAAAAGAAAGGAATTACATATCGAAGGGTAAGGAAGTCATAAACTGCTTCTATTGGTTCTGGACTATTGGTTCTGAGGACTAACGTGCAATAGTTTAAAAGAATGTTGATTGGAAAAAAATACCTACACAAAATGCATAGGAACTAGGGGTCATCCTATAGGGACTGGGTTTGTAATTAATGCCTGAAAAGGATTTTATTCTAATTTGTAATGTTTCCATTTATTATTCTGTGTAACTTAAAATTAATAATAGCACTTATAATGTCTCTGGAAGAATATTCACCGAGTAACACTGGTTGCCTCCATTAGGTGAACTGAGTGCCTGAGGAACTAGTAGTGGAAGAATTTTCACTCTGTAGCTTTCTACATCTTTAAATATTTGAACGTTATAACTGTAGCATCTATTGGTAAAAAGTTCAATTTAAACTTAAAAGTAATTTGAAAAATAACAATAATTAAAAGATGCTCAGTCTCCTGGCCAAACATACAAATATAATTAAATGTGACTACTATTAAGATCCAAGTGTTAGATATGCGACAGGAGCACAGAGAAAAGGTCTCCTAAATAGGTCTGGGGGCCTGAGAATTCAGGGTGGAGGTGACGCTTGAACAGAGCAATGTAAGGTCCTACTTTTTAATTCCTGGAGAGCTCAGTGCGAGGTGCCAGGGGCCCTGAAATCCAGGCCACGACTATTTTCCACGAGCCGGAACCTAAATCCCCACCAAGAGGCAGGAGGAAAGCGGAAGAAGCAGAATCGCCAATAACGGGAAAGCAGCTTCTTAATAAAACGGCAAGGGACAACACTCGGGCAAATCCAACCAGCCCGCAGCTCTCAGAGACCGAATTTCAGATTCCCACCCTCTACACGGGCGAGGCGAGCCCGCCCTCTCCCGCCTTCCGGCGTTGCTTACTGGGCGGCAAATGATCGATAGACCCATTCACCAATCGCTGGCTCTGTTACGGGAGGCAGGCGGGCCCCAGCCCAGTCTTTGGTCCCTCGGGCGAGATGGGCTTCAGCGCGTCGACGTCAGCGTGTTGACGTCACGGGCCCGGTACCAGAGGAGGTCCTGGGGCTGCTGGCTGCGGGCGGTGGGCTGCGCGTCGCCTGCTGGGCTTGGTCCCTCGTCCCCGCCCCGCCAAGCCCCGCCCCTCCGCCCGCTAGGGCCTCCGCGGGCTCAACCGCGGAACCGCTGTCCCCGGGCCAGCCTGGGGCTGCCGGCCCGAAACCACCCGATGAGGTAGGCTGGGTTTCTCGTCACCCTATTTGACAGATTGGAAAACTGAGTCACCCGGGATCAGATGACTTGCCCGGGGCTCAGGGGAGACCCGTGAACGGAGGCCAGAGCCCGGGCGTTCGGGTGTTTGCTGAGCGCTGTGCGGTCCTCCGGGGAGGAGGAGGGGCTAGGCGGGCTGTGTTTATAAAGGATGCAAAAGTGAAGTTGCAGAATGCCGAGCCCCACCTAGCTCCACTGCTTAGGCTGGGATTCGGGGGATGGATACAGGTTGTGAGTCTCCATTCCTTCACCCTGCGGACCCCGAGGAGCCCTCGGTGGGGTCCCGCCCCGTGCTGGCGCCATGGGCCCTCCAGAGTCACCAAGAATGGTGACTGGGGTGATGCGTGGGTTATACAGACAAGGTCGATCATTGACCTTTTTTATTCATTTAAAAAAAAAAAATCTGTGTTTCAAGCAGAACAAAATGGAAAAAGCGCAAGTTATGAGTGTTCTGGCCACAGTTTCATTTCACTGCTTTGCCCACTCATGGTATCCGGCCATATTTTGAAATCTCAGCAGCATGCTTATTTTTGTTTAGGATTTTCTAGAAAGATTTCCCCCCCCCCCCCCTTTTCGTCCAAATACGGGTTAACATTGTGGAACTTTTCCTTTACCATCCCATTACTGCACCAGTTATTCACCATGTCATTTGTCTTCTGTTTCACAGATGGAATCACTGAATTCATCACTTGACTCAGTAATAGTTGGGATAAGTTTAGCAAGGTAACAAAGTAACGGGTCTGATCTCAAATACACTGGAATTAGTTCGGTTTGTTTACCTCACAGTCATTGTTGAGAAGGGTTCTGAAAGATAATTCCCATCTATATACCATCTACTCATCCACCTTCTCTTTCTAAAAGCAGGATCTCGAAAAACAAAACTTACAGTACCTTTGCTTTATGTATGGATTCATGCTTGTAAAGTGAAAAAGTGTACTGTACAACATATGCATATGTATATATTTTGTATTTTCATAAAAATGGACTTTTCCTTATGTTCACAGAAGGATGGCAGTTTTAATCATCGGAGTTTATTCTTTGAACAAGTTCATCAGATGAATACATCTGATCCTACATCATCTCTGTGCCACATTTTGGTTTAAGATGTTGGGGGATTGAGTGCTGAAGAATTTAGGTCAGATTCCTGCCCTCACGGGCCTTCCATTTTGGTGGAGAAATGATAAACATGTAAACAAAAAAGACAATTCTAGATAATGATAAATGCCAGAAAAAATACTGCAAGATAAGGGGGTAGGGTGTGACTGGGATGTGGGGGGGTGGAGGGAAATTTAGATATGGTGGACGCAGAAGACTTCCTTGAGGAATTGACAGTTTGGCGAGACCTGAGTGTGTGGAATGAGGCAGCATGGGAAGATCTGGTGGACGTTTCCAGGCAGACATAATAGGGCAAAGGAACTAAAGAAAAAATGGGCTTAGCATGTTACAGGGGTAGAAGAGGAGCCGTGTGGAGTGCAGTAAACCTAGGAGACAGTGAGGTGGGGTGGGGCAAATGAGGTGGGCAGGAGCCACAGGCAGGATCATCTGAACCCTGAGTAAGGATTGCAGACAGGCAAAGGAAGTAGGGCTTGTGTATTGCCAAGACCCGCTATTTAGTGAGACTCATAGACTGTAGCCAGCTCTCTGCTTTATTTCGGTTATGAAGTCATTGCAGTAATTCATTATGGTTTGTTTTGTTTTGTGTTGTTTCACCAGTAGTCCTCTCTCTCGCTGAAAATCTGTCCTCTTCCCTGTATCCCATGCTGTTGTGTTCCTGGTTGTCATTATGACGTGCAGGACTCTAAGCCTCTGCTGCTTATCATCAGCTCCCTGCTTTTATCCTTCCTTCCTATGAGTCCTCCAGTATTTATGTGCTCACCCTTTGCAAAGGACTGGCACTCAATCCCTGCCATTCTCCATGCTGAGTTTTAGGAAACTGTGTTGTCAAGTGGATTACCGTTTGCCATCAGGACTTTCATCACTGGCCAGGGACTTAACGTCCACCTTTATTTAGTGCCTATAATGTGCCAGGTGCATTACGTACATTCTAACCCTTCCAGCATATTGCAGAGGTAAATATTATCCCTTCTTGAGCAAAAAGGAAGTGTGCACTGAAGGCCATCCAGCTAGTACTGAGTGAGCGTAGATTTGGGCACTCCAGTAGGCCTGCCCACAGAGCCTCTTCCGTGCCACTCCGCCTCACTGCTTCCCTGGATATGAAGCAGCAGCTATACATCTCCACTATCTGAAATTAAATTTTTTGAAATGGCATTTCAGAGGTCATGATTCAACCCTCTCAGTTTAGAGGTGGGCCTGTGGAGGGCCATAGATGTTCAGTGATTTTCAAGACTTAACTGCCACCAAATTCTCTCACCTTCCTGATTCGCAGCCTAATTGTTTTTCTGTTATACTACATAAGATTTCTGCATATATGAAAATACAGTATTTCAACATGACGGGCTTATTGTCCAAAACTCGTACAAGGTAGTAATGCTCCTTAGGCTAAAATAATCCATTGTTTTCTTTCCCTTTTCTTAGCGGCGAGCAGGTGCAAACTCGCTGGACGAATCTTTGCTTTTAGTTAGAAGAAAGACAGTGGTTTCAAAATGACTTTAAAATTTAAGGTTTAATTTCACCTGTCTCTGAAAGGGAACTTAAAGCTTGTTACTGGTTTCCCAGCTTTAATGTTGTGTTTAACAGTATGGGAACATTGCCTAGAGTGGCTGCCTCATAGTTTCTGTTAGCAAGTGGAGTTTCTTCCTAGACTGGAGGAAGCCCTTGGGTTAGCTCAGGGATATAACTTCTCTTTCTTGGTAATTATCATTTGTAAAAAATAAAGAAGAATCAGTTTGTGAATTCTATGGTTCAAAAATGTTCCTACAGTTTAAAAAATACCCATTATTTATTTCCAGGCTTTGCTTCTCAGTTATGATTGGGATATGGTAGGTGAATAATAGTAAACTCGCAAATAGTTAAGTTCACATTCTTGTGGCTTTTTGACTCTCCTCTAGCTCAATAGAGATCGCCTTTCATCAGTCAAATTAGAATTATGTTAATGGAATTGCCTTCTTTCTTACATGTGGAAACTACTTAAATTTAGGCAAAAGAGAGCTTTTGCTCTTTAAGCCATTTGCTGGGTATTTTGACCGAGTATCTCCATCCTTCAAGATTGTTGGTGCCACTGATGTCCATGTTCTGGAGATCTGGGCTGTCATGACTTGGCCTCAGACTGTAGTGCCACCCTTCCACCATGAGCCCACTGCCCCAACTGGACTCCTGGCCTTTCCAACTTTGGTGTCTTTGCTCGTGCTCTGCCTGGAATGCCTTCTAGATGGACAGATCCAGCCAAAACTCTGCCCATCCCTCTGTGTCCATCTGTGCTGCTTATTTAACGAGATATTTCCTGTGTCTTTAATGGAAACCTCTTTCCCAGCCCCTCTGGGAGTATTTCTCTGACAGTTTACCAATCCTGGTATCTTTGGTAATACATTCTTTTATACATGGGTGTTAAATATATATTTCTTTGAGCTTAAAAGATACTTATCAATTCATGTTACACATGCAGTTTTTTGTAGATTGTAGAGACCTTTGGTTTTGTTTACACGTTTACGATTTCATCTTTGAGAGAAGCACCATTCTGCTTTTCTTGTCTCTGCTTCAACAGAACCTCTTTCCTGTTTCAGTTAAGGGTCTGACTTACCAAGGGATCCTGTGAGAGGAACTCAGATCTTTGGGTTGTGAATATTTAAGGCACACTGTCCCCCCAGAAAATCATTCTCTGTGTTTATGGTGTTGGAAAAAGTAAAAGCAACTCCACTTGTTAATATTAAAATGAGAAAGGGCCAGAGAGGCCAGCCTGGGGCACCTGTGGTGCTGGGCTGAGAAGCCTAGTTTGTACTCCTGGTTCGCAACAGCCACGTGTCCTGGGTTCTGATGCCCGGCATCAGAAATCCTGGCAGCCACTTATGAGCCTATCAGCGGAGCTTTGGAGCAGAGTTTTGGAATGATTTCAATAAATAGCATTCAAAATACATTGGAAAAAGAGATGACCAAATTAATTAATGTGGGGCATTTTGATTAATTGTTTTGTCAGTTATAGTTCATTAAAGATGGAATATTCTTGGCTCATTCAATATCATATATTGAAACTCCAGACATGTGTGTAGACTTGCTTCATTTTGGTTAACAAATACCCAGATCCCATACTTTTATATGATGATATTTGTAAATCATGAATTGAGCAAACAAATGTAATGCCCAACATGTGGCCAGGCATTTCCCTGCCTGCGAAGAATATAGACAGGTCTTCTGGGAGCTTTTGGTATAGTACTGAGAAAAAGACATGTAAGCAATATGTGAAATGTATATGAAAGATTTGAGGTGCCATTAAAGATATGTGGCATGTATGTTATCCAATTGGATTCAGAAGGTTTCTTTGAGGAAGTGGTACTTAAGCTTCCTTGAACAATGAATAGGCTTATTATTGCTGTTGTTGAAGTGCTTGGAAGAAAAGGCTCTCCAGGAAGAGGGAGCATGAAGGAAAAGGCATAGATGGTGAAACCTCCT